GTGACGAAGTACCGTGGTAGGTATACTGCTCGTTAATCAGAAGGCGAGCACAAAGCAAATTCCTAAATGGTGCGCTTGGCGTGCATTAATCATAATGCAGTAGAAACGGGTATAAGCGCGGGAATCGCTATATGCACGCTTGAAACGTAATATTTTCTTTAAAGGCGGTAAACAAAGTTCCACTTCCGTATTTATTGTTGAATGCGCAACGACGCTGTCGCGCCTCGGAAATAGAGTTTCCATGACTCGACGATATCAGATAATGTGAAGAGACGCGAAGTGAGACGACGTCACACGCTACGCGAAGGTGTTACGCTGTCGTCTCACAGAAGGAAACGCGAGGGAACCGCTTTACAAAATGGAGAGTTACGTTCTTCCATCCTCGCAGGAAAAGTGGCAGGCAGTTCGTTTTGCCTTTACATGGGATTTCGATTATCGCGATTACAAAGTTTGAATCGGCGAAAAGCTAATGGCAGGTCCGCGGACGTGGGTGTTACCCCAGTTATGTATTGTCCCTTCTCGTGGCCAAAAAAAAAAACCTACTCGCAGCTTTTACCGTTCCATCCTTTTCTTACTTTAAAGAAAACAACGGTTCAAGAAGATAAATGCGCTCGTTTTCTGTAGCTCGACTTCGAGGAAGTCTTAATGCGAAGAGCCGCCATTTCTTTAGAGTTTTTGCACCGATTTCTGGTTCCCCTGGTTGGTTACTCGGGAACCACCTTATCTTCAGTTCGCTCGTATTTTATGAAACCCTAAAGCACGATATAATATCTCTGCTTCTAAACGAGAACTGATAGGTATATACCGACCGACTAGGCTTTAGGTACCGGTTTGGGACCGTGCACGAGCCATTATTCTTTCTTTTATTACGGCCATTAACATTTTTTATTAAAATTTTTTAATCGTTCATAATTGCAATTTTATTAAAATTAAATATGGGAAGAAAATCATTTTGTTTCATTACGTGATAATTAAATCACGCGCCCTGAACATTGTTATACGCCTGCAATAATTGATAGTCGAAAACATTCATCCGATAATTATTAAAGAATATGCAATGAAATATTTGCAAACGTTTCGCGATAACGCGTGTATCATTATTATTTCGCAAAATTATAAAATACACAAAATTTATATCTGCTTGCGCGCGCGTTATCCGCATTGAAATGTCAATATTGGCCGACAGAAATTGCGAAGTATGCCGCTCGTGAAATCGCCAGTACCGCGCGGGAAATTTATCGAATTACATTCTATACTTTCGGAGCTAGAATACCTTGTATTTCTTGTTCGACCGAAAGGGGACACAGCGTCTTGCTACGATAAATGCTCTCGTTTGCCGAAGCTTTAACGTCGGGTCAAAGGTCTGGTTCCCGTCGACTGTACGAAACTTTTCACCCTCCTTTATTCCCTTTATTTTTTTGCTCGGAACCACTGTCAAACACAAAGTTCCTCGATACGGTAACTCGGGCAGCCGTCGCCGTCGCGATACTGGTACAAGGTATTCTTGGCGGAAAATATGACGGCTTGGATATTTACGAACGTCTGTGGCGTCGACAAGAAGACTTCCAAGTAATCTTGTCTAAGCGAATACCCACTTTATACAGCGTGTGATTGATCATATTTTTTCTTTAAAATAAAAGTTGTATATTATTATTTGTTGTATGTTATTATTTTTCATTTTTTTAATTAATTTAATAAATTAATTAAATTCTACAATGCCAATATTAATACATTATTAATGCATATTGTATACGATTATATATAATTATTGTTTCAATAAATAAAAATAAAACTTTTTAATTTTTAATATGTTTATACAGATAAATATATATGGAGGAGTAAAAGTCATAGTGGTGTAAGTCAAATTTTTTTAAATTTTTACTTCCAGCACAAAAGGATATTCTCTTACTTTTTGTATATACTGAGAAAAGGAAAATTCATTCACCAGATAACGTCGTTTTAAGATCCGCGTTCTCCGCCATATATCTCCGAATACAAAACGTGCCATTTTAAGAAAGCAAATTCGCACTACTAATGGTCGAGTCGCTTCCTTCTCATCCTTATTTCTTTCTCACGTCGATGTAGCGACAGTACATCTGATTCGAATGCGTCCTTGCTTCGTTTTCGCTTTGCCTGTTCGATGCACACCCGGGTCTTTGACGGTTACAACGCGCAAATACGCGATAGAACGCGAGAAGCGCATTTGTAGAAGAGAGCGTTTTAAATTCTACGAGTGCAACATTTAACGACGTTCCCGTTCTCGCTTATCTCGCGAGAGCACACACACTCTTCGTTGTATAACGCGATGACGGTCGCGATTATGCACATGTCTCTCGTGCGGGCGTAACAATATTACTGTCTTGTTCTCAGCAATCAAACTAAAAAAAAAAACGCGATGATTCGTTTTTCGCGAGTTGCGTTTTTCAACGCTGTTATCTTTGACAGAGAAAAGCTCGTTTTGTTATAATATTTGAAATTAAAAATTAGAAATCGGATCTCTAAGGTAAATGTACCAATGCCTGGGCACGTACCTACGTCTGGACATTTTTATCATTTTAGACCTTAAATAAATTATTATAACGCAAATTAAAATCAAAGAGAATCAAAGATAAAAATATTTTTCTTATATTATATTTTTATCTTTGATTTTATTCGCGTTATACTTAATTATTTAGAAACTAAAATAATAAAGGTGTTCAGACATAGGTCTTAAGTGTCCCGGCATTGGTATACACTTACCTTAAGTCTCAATAGACTCGGATCTATATTTCTCATCGAACGCATAACGAAGAGTACGATTACAATTGTGTTCGGACATTTTGTATCTTCTGTTGTCAGAAAAAAGGAAACCGACGAGAGAATGATGTGCAATTTCGCTGGTGAAAACGCGATGAGAGCAAAGGCACGTTAATTGGCGTTCATCTGGAAAAGGTTTACCAACGCTCGGAGTGTCTACGAGTTACGTAGCAAGGACGTGCGAAATGTCGGTGGGTCGGAAGGGTGCGCCGGGGGCGCTAATTACCCCGCGGGAAAAATTCCTTGGCACATGCCGGCCAACGGCGAATCCCGAGGTGTGACGCTCGGGATTCGCCGTTGGCGTTTCCATAACTTTTCAACAGGATGTTAATTGGATTCCTTTTTCTCTCCTTGACCTCTGTCTCTTTTTCTCTCTCTCTCTCTTTCTCTCTTTCTCTCCACCTCTATCTTCCACCATTGTCGTATATGCTCTCACTTCGCCCCGATAGCCGCTTACTTTATTTCGAATTTATTACGTCGCCTAATTGCCGTTTTACGTATTCTTTTGTTGGCGCGCTGAATATGCCCGTCACGTCGAACGACAACGAGAAATGTGGTTCGGAAATAAAGCGTAATATTAAAACATAGTTTGGAAAAAATAAGTTTAAAAAATTGTTCTAATTAGAATTTTTATCAGAGTTTACGATTTAACTTCGGGCGGACAAGATGACGTTTTAGATCCATTAAATCTCATTAAAATTAAATCCTTTTATGTAAAAAAAAAAAAACGATAATTAAAATTTGCTAAAACGTTTGAAGGATTTATAGAAGCAGAAGTTACCCAAATGAAAATAATAACACCATTCCAATAATAATAATTTAAAATCATATCTCGCGCGGTTTAAGTACCTTTCTTGACCGATATATACATTATTCGAGAAGTTGGATTTATCGGGCTTTATCGGATCGTTGCAAAAGCGATAAATAATTATCGCCCGTGCACTGGTTTGCAACCTGTTGGTTCGCGGCGGCACTTGCCACATTTTCTCAAACATCAAATGGCTTTAATACCGGTAAAGGTCTTTTTGGGCGACCTCGGGCAATGAGTCTCAAGTTGATCCTTACAACTCCCGCCGTCTTAAACACTCGCAATACCTTACGATGGTTTTATAAGAGTGAAGTTGCGAAAGTACAGCGACACGTAACTTTAAGACGGTACTTATGCGAAGCCCGTAAAACTTTCGTGTCATTTTTAGCATAATCGCAATACACGTCGAGTAGCCGGTGTTCGAGCGGCTAATTGGGTATTAATGAAAGAGGTAATTATGTACAGAGAGAAGCCCCGGCAAAGTTACAATTGGCTCCGGTTACTTGGAACGATCTTCCCGAACACTTTCTCGTTACTACGAATACTAAGAATAAGGGAACTGCAGAACGGGGAGTTTCTGCGACATTCGCGTAGCGCGTTTCGGATAATAATGTAAATCCAAGATGGAAATTGCCAAGCTAATTCACGATTGGCTTGCTCCAACCGCGATACACTAATGTTTATCGTATACACACAATCGCAAAAACTTTCCAATTTCCATCTTGGATTTACATTACGAGCCACTGTAAAACGTGACTGTAAATTTCTTCATATCTAAAATGCTGCTCTCTCACAAAAACCTGTTCGTAATTGCAGGAGAGCGTGTAATTTAAGCAAAGCTAGCCCTGCCTATATTCATGCCCCCTGATATTCATTGGTCAAACCTAATTGAATAATAAGAAGAATCGTGTGTAAATATTTGTGTAACTGGTCATTTTCTAAGTTTTAATAAAATTTTCTTTCTACTTTTTATATATCGCAAATTTGCTACAACAATGACGTAACTCAGAAAACAAAATTTTCCAAAAAATAAGTTTAAATGTTTCAAATCATTAAAATTTTTAATATTATACTTTTAAATGTAATTTTGATGCAATAACTGATTGTAGAGGAACAAAAATATCTAGCTATATATTAGCTCTTCATTCAGTATATTGAATTTTCACCCTTCTTTTGCAAACAAAAATGACAATTTTTGAGTTATGTCATTGTTGTAGTAATTGAGCGATACATCTATATATACAGGGTGTAAGAAGCAAATCATTTCTCGTAGTAGAGCTTATTACGTTATTACCTGTCACCTGTATATATAAAAGATATTTTATGATATTATATAATTATATATCTAGCTCTTATCGAGCTGACGCATCGATCGAATGACTTAAATAAATCTTACCGATTACTGTTAAATTGACTTTGGAGTTTCTCGTCTGGCCGATTTGAAAATCGACGCGACACCTGTAGATACCGGCGTCCTCTTCCCTCGTGTTCTCGACGCCCAGCTGCGCCGGTTGCTTGTCCAGCATGAAATAGGCGCGATGCGAAAACACGCTGTCGTCCGACCATCTTTCGGCGACACCGAACTCTCGGTTTCTAGCGTCAATGCTGTAACAAAAAAAATAGTAATGAAAGGACGAGCCAGGCATATATATGAACTATCGTTTAGCGTTAATCTTCTGGAGAATGCACAATCTGCTTCCTGGAAAATGAACACTTATAATGGACGCGCATTCGCTTCTCTTCTCTCGTTTTCGGACAAAAGGGAGCTTATGATATTAAGCTGTATCAAAAGTATTTTACCAGAGAATTTGATCGTATTAATGTCACCGGATTATACATTCTCTCTCACCTTTTGATATTACATATTAAAATGTACGTGTAAATGAATTTAGTTTATGCAATAATGATGATGATAATGCGATAATTTCCGTTTCAGAGATGCGAATCGGAAAATTGAATTGCGTCGAAATTAAAAAGTGCGAATAAAATTTCATTCGAGATAAATGCTTTTGTATAACGTCGTTAAAAAATATAGGTCGTGCAAAATGTTGTATTACGTACATTGCACTTCGCAAGAATATTTTATGACGCAGTCAGTCGCGTCCAGTCACGTAAATAATCCGACGGACAGATTTTCGAAAATGCTACATCGTACAGTTTACGATATGTGTCATCTGCAATAATAAGCGCGCGTATAAAAATATCCATATCCGAAAAATGCTGTGTCTTGTTAAATTATGGCGAGAATAATTTCATGGTACATGAAATACTCGTTACGGAAATTGTTGTAAAGACAAAACCCAACGAATGTTTGCACCGAGGAAGCGAAATTGAAGCGGGACTGAAAAACCGATTGTTTTACCATTCCTGTAAAACAAAGATTTACCCGCGGCCGCGCCGCAATGTCGCGTCGTCGGTTTTGCGTCCAGATCCGCCGCTAACTTTTCTCTATTTCTCCGCGCGAATCCCGTCATACAACGAAGTTTTCGCGTTTTTGTCACGAGATCTCTTTTTTTTTATTTCAGGCGAGCCTGAAAGCCCATTTGAATCGATACAAGGAGGATATTTAAGGCGACGTAAAAAGTTCTGAAAACGCCCGAGCGTCTGACGCAAGCGAGACGTAAGTATGACAGAGACGCTGAGCAGAGCGTTCTACTTTTACCACATTACTTGCTTAATGATAATTTTTTAGCTCATTCATCGTTAATCTTTCTTGAACGAAGATGACGTGACATTTATAGTTTCCGAATAGATATTGGAAATAAAGAATTTCCGACGAGCTTCAGCGAAGATAACGAATAACAGAATGATATTCTACAATAATTTTTAAATGAACTGTATTTTAAAAATATATTTTAAATTAAGGTAGCCAAAAGGCATTGAGGATATATAAATATACAAAAATACCAAATGTATTTTTGAAGACATGCAGCGTATAAATTTTTAACGAGACTCTATCGTGTCCATCTCGTTCAGAATCGACATCTCGGTATTTCGAATATTGAAATTTTGTCATCGAAGACACAGAAAAAAAAATCGCGGAACGGATTTCGGCTGCCATGGACTTCGACGACAAGCCATCGTGCATCGGTACCGTGGACGGCCACATTTGCATTGTACATGATACACTCGTCAATTGTCAATCGGACGGTTCGATGCTCGATTTTAAAAAGATACCTACGCGCACAGTTCAGTTGACGAGAGCAGCGATTTTAACGGCAGGCGTCATTATCGCAATAATTTCAATTAATGTTTATGAGCGTTGTTCCCACCGCGGCCGGGCGACCGCGGATGAATTCATCAGTCGACACGAAGGAATAAATTAAAATCCACGGGAGATTTCGCGTTGCATAGTTTAAATCGCGCTCTAGCCCCGGCGCGCGTTATCGCGGTCGTTATAATTGGCATATAATTAAAGTTCCTCCGCTGATCATTATAATACCACGGGCAATCATTATTTCAAGCCGTGAACGCTATCAAATTGTAATAATTATACTGCCATATAATTGATTTCATTTCACGGCGATTGCGTTTCTCTTTCGTCGCTAATTACCGGCCTAATGATTTACGCGATGTGCGCGCGACACCGATTGCGCGACGCGGTTTTTTAAATTTCTCAAATTCTCCGCAGGATCTCGCGACGCACGCAGAAATATGTTATCAACATTCTAGCCGCGAATCACGGATCCGGCGTCGTTCATATTCCCCCGCTCGCGCGATCATTGTTATTGTCGGGAAAATGCAAAGTATTTCGCGACTTAACGCCGCGAATAAAATATGCGTATCCGCGCGGCATTCGAAGGAACGAATCCGCTTAAGCGCCGTTGCTATTTTTCCTGCGTTTTAAGATCCGTTATACGTCACCGCGTGACAAGCTTTCTGGTATATGCATCGTAACGTTTGAAAAGGGTTTTTAAATCGCGGAGCCGAGGACACTCCAGCCCGGCGCGGCGTCAGCGCCGGGCGTTTCTGCTTTTCCATGAAAGGAAGCGGATAATGGCGTAAAGGCGGGGCGAGAGCTGCATGCTAAACACAGAGTGTTGAAGAATAAAGTGCTTAACGTAATACCGCCGTCGCTAATCTGCGCTGCGGATAGAGGCTTGTTTATGAAAAATGCAATACATCGTCGACGCACATTAATTATTAATTTCGCGTTATAAAAGCGAGGATCTCTCTGAAATAGAGTTAACCTAACCCAACCTAAAGGGCGATCCACGGAACGAATCAATTACTTGTATCTTCGCTTTGCGATTCTCATTTTTCGCAGACGCTCGTCTAAATTGTCGACAATGTGATAGTTCACGCATCAAATCGGGCCTCAAAATGTCAATGCTTCATTTACCTGTTACCTCAATCATTCCACGGAAGATCCGTCGTACGGCCGGACACTTGTTTGCATTTGCACTACACTACCGACGCGGACGACGCGATCACTATTTGTGCGGACGCACTTCGGACAGTTCGGACCAGAATGCAACGCGAGATACTCACAGATACGACAATTGCCCTGCGTTCGCTGACGTTCTCGTCGTCAACGCCGAGTTGCGAAGCGAGATTCGATTTCAGCACGGGAAATGCACGGCGCGAAACGCCGAGCGATCCGGAGCGTGACGATGGCGCCCGTGCCGTGAGACCAGTTCGCAACGACTGCGCGCGAGTTTAAGGAGGGAAACAAGCGATTGGCCGGACGAAGGACGTGAGCGGTCGAAACATACGATGGCTTTTCGTGCAATGCCTTCGAACTCGACGCCGTGATAGTGGAAAACAGAGTTGATCGTTCTCTAACTTTAATAACTTTATCAGAACTATATTGACAATAGTTTTGCGATGTTCGGCTCATCGTCCGCTCGTTTGTCATTACTTTTTACTTTTCATTATTCCTTATTCTTTATTTTTTACTCTTTAACACACTGGCTGCCGTAACTGGGGTCTGATTCGTCAGTAGGCTACCAAAATTTCTTTTAAATGCTCGTAAAAGATAATTATCATCTAATATAAAATTCTGAATGACGTAAATAGGTAGAAAACAACGTAAAGTAAAAAATGTGCCATTCAACATTCATTATGCGTAAAGTTACAGTCTTATATGTTACACAATATTTTATCGTTATACGTTTGTGATAATGAAACTTATACTGCAGTGGCATACGTGGTGAGACGTGCGAAATTCACTGGGTATAGACAATCTGTTAACAAATTTTGCTAATAAATTGTTTGCGCGCGAACGCGATCTTCAACTTCGCCGTTTTGAGACTCGATACCGAATTAAAGATATTTTCAACGCGACGGGAATAATTAACCCTGTTGTCGCGTACAAGTTAGCGATAAGGAGCAATCTGTTTGTTTTCCGCATAGTTCACGTAGTTTATGAAGTACGTGAGGGAAAATTAAAACGGAGCAAAATCGCGCGTCGCGCGATAGGGAAACTGGGCGGACGCAATTTTATTGTCTACCCCGGGATTAACTTGGTTAAGACGCCACGCCGGTGTTTGCGCGTCGATGAAACTGTCGCGAAATTTCGTTATCTACGAGCGCGTTCATCGCATTTTCCCCCGGCGAGCATGGAAAAACCGCGCGGCGCCGGCCGTATCGCCGGCGAGCGATCTGACGGCCGGCACACGTGACGGGTAATTAAAATCTGATGCAAAATCATGGGAAACGTTTAAATCTGTTTGCGATACCCCTCCCCCCTCCAAATAACAGCACCGCTACGTGCACATGCAAAATATTCGCGCGCGCTGCAATTTTTTAATTTCTCTTCCTCCCTTTCTTTTTTTTCACCATTTTTCAAACGTAAACGTATATTCTCATTCGTGTGGCGATACTATCCGTTCTGTCATTAGTATGTGCTTCGCGACGCGTTATGTAACACAGCCGCGAAATCAAATCTGTATTATTCTGGACTGAATCCAAAGCAGCGATTAAAAAAAGCGTCGTTAAGCCTCTCTCTGTCTCTTTCAAAATACAAGTTGACATCGCAAAATTGATTGTGGATATAAATACACAGCCACACAAAAAAAAATTATTTTCTGGCCTGGGGGTCAGACCATGTTTATTATATGTTTTTGGGGTCGCTGAAATCGAATCCGAAGTCCATTTTACCCCATCACGTCAGGTTTGATATTAATACAACCGACTCTTTATGCAATAACAGTGACGATACAATAGCAGTATTAACGTAACAACGGTGATAATAATGATAAACAATATAACAATAATAGCAACAGTAATATAATTTTCTTATATGTGTTTATTACGTTTTCGATAATTAATTCGTCGCGCTGGTGAAAATAGAATAATCGCGCAGGACTCTTGACAGTGCTCTGACGCTTCGTCTTTCTTTTTTCAACAATCCCTACAAATCAATACTTATGCAATATTCAACGGCGACTCCTATCGCAAACACGGTATGCATTCTTTGAGCGGAACAACGAGGAAAATCGAGTTCGAAGACAATTTTCGGATAAAAGCGGACTACCAATCTCGCATTGTGCCAACGGGCTGTTTGCAGTCCGTTCCTGTTACGACCGGCGCGGCGGTAGTTTGCAAATCGTTGTACATGTGCGTGTATACGTACATGCAGTATGTACCACCGACGTGCCCGCGCACGTTCGCCTGTATACGGATTGATTGCACTTTACCTGTAAACTGATGTACCGAGATCCTCGCGATACCAGAGCACAAGATGCACGGAGTCCCCCTCGTGAGTGGTTGATATGTCGCAGGGAAGATAGGTGGAATCTCCGACCAGTGCCACGATGTGTGATATGGGTACTAAACACAGAAACGTGGAAATGGTTAGACGTAATTAACAGCGAAACACATTTTCGGGATGAGAAGAATTTCTGTTCTTTTTTCAATTTTGCAATATGGCAAAAATTGTTTTCGCTAATTGGCGACGCGATTTCCAACGCGCGCGCGCGTTGGAAATACAACGATACTAACGATTTAAATTGATCGATCGAGATGCATAATTAAAATTTATGCAGTCACATTTTTTTCCCCAAAAAATTCCTCCCAGAGATTGATGCGCTTTTTGTAAACGATCACGAGGTCGCTATTTTATATCACGTACGCAATAAAAATGTAGCTTGCCAAGTCGAATGCGATACGTCTGCATATTAATAAAAGCGTAATTTGTTCGCGCGGCATATAAATGAATTCATTCTGTCAGAATAATTTTTCACTTTGTATGCAATTACGGTATCGCGGTGGTTTCCCGTTTCCAAGCGAGATTTCCCCGTGATTATATAATTCGGTGATGCGTGAATGCCCGCGTGTAATGCGATAAGTATCAGCCTATTATTGCCCGTTCACATCAATACACACGCAGTCGCGCTCGGTATTAGGATAAACACCTTCGTTTAATTTGAATTAATTTATTGGCCGTTTCAACAATGTACGTTATATCGATAAGAATACGCGCGTTTTGATACCGACATTTATATATAATTAAAAGAACAAAGCGAAAACTCCGATATTTATTTTTTTTTTGCATATTTTATGTAGTTACGCGGCTTTCATTCTCCCTCATTAACTGGTTTTACAGCGGGGCATATGTAATAACGGCTGTTACCGCACGCATTACGAGCCAGACATTTTACATCCGTTTCACCGAAATAAAGACTGAGAGGCGCTTTTCGTTATATCGTCGATAAAACATTCCCAGCTGCATATTGTACGAGGCCGTACGAAAATTTCGATGCGTCCGCGCAATAGATATACGTCGCGATAAGGCCGTAAAAATTCAGTGTGCTCGCGAAGATAAAATTCGGAACGTCGAGGGAGCGTCATGAGCGCGGGTCTCTCGTTTGCGTCGCAAAGCTCAGCAATCCTTTCGCACGAAATTAAGTGATCGTTATTTAACGTATTCCTCTCTAAAGCTCTTCTCTTGTTCTCTCACAACATTCATGGACGCAACGATGACGATGGAAAATCTCGGACTATTCACGGAGCTATTTCAGGGAACGTCCTCGCTCTGGCGTTCGGGTTAGCTTCGACATTTCGCTATGTCGTCGACGGACCTATCCTCCTTTCGTAGCCGCGATCGACGAGATATCCGAGGTGTCGAAGATATATCGATGAGCAAGGTTTTACCAGGGCGCCTCTTACCGGAAATAAAATTTGCGCCGGACATCTAAAGTGCAACACAAGCGCTCGTCGCTCCACAGCGCGCAGCCCGGTATAAATAACATTTTTTACAATTACATTGCCCGCTCAATAAAGAAAAAAAAAAGAAAAAAACCGCCTCGGCTCTATGCGCTCCTACGTCAATTCTGAAAGCGTACCTCTGGTCTCCATTATTTTCTTATGTAACGGGAAAAAAAACCCATCCGTGCACAATAACTCGTGCTAGATCTCAGAAAAATGCATGAATGATGCGTGTGACGTTTACAACTTCGCTTGTAACTTTGCAATGCAGCTCCGCGTTCTCGATGGTTCCCGCGCAATGGTTTCTTATTGAGTTACCGACACTTTGTGATATGTAGGTACTTCAAATGTGTGAATGTGGTACATATTGCAGATGGTTTCTCTGATCTTATTTGTACACATAAATTACTTTATATAAAATATGCAAGAGGAATAAAACTATATTTATATTAAAAATATAATAATTATATTTATATTAAGAAAAAAGAACACAATTTTGATAACTTATAATTTTATCAAGATAATTATATAATAATTATTTTGAAAAAATTATAAATTTTTAAAATTATATTTTGTTCTTGGCCCATTTGCACGTATATACGCAAGTCGAATCGATTAAATGCGTCACATTTATGGATTATTAGTAAGAAAGCATTAGTAAGGCAGTGATTATTAGTAAAAAAAAAATTCTCTGTAATCATATAATGCCGAAAAAGTAATCACACATCAAGGAGTCCATTGAGAGGATCAGCAAAGCGGACGTGAGCTCGCCGATGAATCGATCCCGACGGCGCGGCGGCGACGGCATATGATACGCTCGTAAAATCCTCGTAAATTCGAAAAAAAAATTAGAGTATTACGTCTTACTACTGATCGGATTAACGCCATCGTGGTAGACCATCGAGTTCCTTTTGCGGATGTGCGATCGCATCTCGCGAGCGTTTCCGCGGATTTACCTAAAAATCGGAACTTATAAAGCCGCGGCGGAATTAGAAATCTTCGTCGAAACGTCGGTTCAGCATATCACGTTCCCCGACACGAATCTTCCTTTTTTCCCTTCCTCCTTCTTGTTCGCCTTCGCGATGCATCGAAGATCTCCGGCCGCGGGACTAGGTCGCGTGCTTTAACGGCGGATGATTTCACCGGGGCCGACAGGCGTGGCGAGCAGTTTTGTTGCGCATGTTCGTTGTTCGATGCGCGTATAATGGCTTCCGGTGCCGTCAATGGTTAAAATATTTCTCTTTTTCGCCAGCCGAGCCTCTTCTCTTGTCGTTTCCTCTCGCGCCGGGGTATATCCGCGAGAGTGCACTGCAGTGTCGTCGCGTCTGGTAGATATCTAATATGAGCTCTCACGCTCCGCTGGGATCCGAGACAACGTATTTTCCGCACGTCGGGAAAACGCGTGTTTTCGTCACACGCTTTCAGCAAAAGTTCATACCTCTCAAATCATGTATGCGTCATATACTACTTCATACACGTCCTCCTTTCATGTTATAAGAATAATTATATTATTATTCTTGTGTATGTTGCTCGACGCATCTTCTTCGAGGATTAGTATATTATCATGGAAAGAACGGTTTTGCTGAAATATCTAAAAATTTAGCTAGATACAGATCTGAAAATAATTTTGTTCCACCGTCAAAATAATTATATAGAACACTCAAACTGATTGCTAAAATGTCAAAATTTTTTGCAGCATTATCATCATACTTCAGCGACCTACTAAAATAATTATTTTGATGGTGCAACAAAATTATTTTAATTCAAACCTGTATCTAGCTAAATTTTTAGATATTTCAGCAAAACCGTTCCGTGCACGAGTTCCTCATATAATTCCATTTCAGATGTTTTGAATGTAATGCGTAAAATAAATTAAATAATTAAATAACAAGAGTTTCTTCGTGTCATGCAATAATCGAAGGGTACATTTTAGCCTGCGATATCGTTTCTTAAAGCACACTCTGTATGAAGGGGACGTATGACACTCTGTATGACGCTTGCGTTTTCCTCGGTCTCGACCAATATTCACACCCTTGCTTTGCCTCTTGCGTCTAGTGCACGATCGTTATAGCGTTCGAAAACACGTCTTGACGTTTCGTGCCGTATCAACGACACATGTGCATTATATCGGCGACGTTGCAGGCGTCGCTTGCGTCATGCTGTTTGTCATATCGCGGGAAGCATGTACGCAAACGGCTGTCGTGCAGCGGCGGTAGCAGCCAGGAGCGCACCATACAGTCTGAATCGATAATATCAAAGAGAAGAGAGAGGTAGAGGTAGGGAGAGAGAAAGAGAGAGAGAGAGAGAGAGAGAGAGAGAGAGAGAGGGAGAGAGGGAGAGAGAACGTGTAGGCTTCGGACTTTGCGGTCGGCGGTCCGCTCCGATTTGACCCATATAGAGTTCCTAACGATGCAAATCGGCCTAGACGATTATACGTAGACTGGGTATTTCGAATCATATACGAACGTATTCGAAAATTGCATTTTGCGGTTTCAAGTCTTTTCTTATTCAGAAAGACGAGATAAAAGATCTAAGAATCTCCAGCTTCTTATATTAATAGCGTTTACAATAGTACAATCGCAGAAAATTGGGTATCAAAAAATAAGGATTTGACCGATTTCGCCGTGAACAGAATAAAAATATAATCAAGAACTTGTATGTTAAAAAAATGACAACTAATTATTTTTATCAGAGATATTCCGCCATATACATTTAAAGTTAAATCTAACCGTTTGGTTTTCTCTCACTATTATGAATGCGTTCCTGTTAATTCCTGTATTAACGTAACTGTAAAATTGTTTAATGCATATTCGAGAGTTTTATCCTAATATTAATTTTTGTAAAAATAAAGGTACATGCATATTATTGTATTTATCTCAAATGGTGTAGGAAATCATTGGCGAATTAATGCATGTATCAGCATCACCGCGTGAGCGTGAGTTAAGATAATTTGGTTTTTACGATCGGTCCAATGCATTTTAGAAACCACTTTTACGATTCCAAATATATTTGAAAATTACAGTTTATTTTAAATTATTTTAAGCTTCATTCAAAAATTATCTTCTAGGTCAATCTAAAAATTCTGAGCATGGCAGCTGCGTTGCTTTTAGTCACGGGAGAGTGCCCGGGAATTTTATCGATTCCCATTGAGTCGCATCGGCGTCAAAAGCACTGTCAGTAAATAAATAAATATAGAATTCGCTTCACACACCTCTTTGGCACTTGTCTGCTCGCTATCAATTATATGTAGATACGATTCACGATCAAATTTAATGTAACGCGAAGTAAATCTCACGCGCTCGAGTGGAGAGGGAACGCAAGCCGAATATTTCTGTGCGGTATATGAGTGCGCTCGATAACTACTCAATTCAATGCATTAGGAAAAGACATTAAATTTACAAATATTTTATCGACGCAAATGATAAGCCGCACCGCAGTGTGCCGCGCGAATGTTATATCAGGTATGAAATATTTAGTCCGTTCGCGGAGCTGGATAAATACCGTCCGGTAGCATTCGGCGCGCTCGGGGAACGGATCAAAAATGTATTTATAATAATTGAAACGTTTTTCGCGGACAGACTGCGCGGTATTTTATTCGTGGCATACATGGCTTATGTCGTTGC